GAAAGGGGGGGCGGGAACCCAAAACACCAAAAAGAGAGGAAGAACGCAACAAGGGACGCCAAACGGCGGAAAAACAAAAACAACACAGGAGACAGGGGGGAAAGCGGGCCCGAACGCCCCGAAGAAGAAAGAAAAAGGGCGGGGAGGAAAAAAAAACCGAAAAATAAAGAAGGCAGGAAGCGATAGGACGGCGGAAAGAAGAGGGGGGGGCCGGCGGAAGCGGGCCCACAGGGAGGGCCGCAAGCAAGGAGGGGGCAAGAGTGGCAGGGCGCCCGGAGAGCGAGGACCCGAAGAGCGCCGCGGGCAGAACAGTGGCGGAGGGGAAGCAAAAGGAGCGACAGCAGGGCGAAAGAGGAGCCAGTGGGCGGCGGAGGAGGCGGCAGAGGGGGAAGGGGAAGGGAGGGGAGAAGAGGGGGGGGGGGAGGAGGAGGAGGAGGAGGAGGAGGCAGAGTAGGAGGAGGAGGAGGAGGGGATAAGGACATGAGGACATAGGGAGGGGGAGACGGGTAGAGACAAATAAAACAGGAAGGAGAGAGAGAGAGAGAGAGAGTATAGAGAGAGAGAGAGAGAGAGAGTTAGAGAGAGAAGAGTAGGGAGTAGAGAACAAGGGGGGCAAAACACGGGAGGGGCGCCCAAGGCGCCAAGGGGGGGCGAGCGCCAAGAGCGCGGAGGCGCGGAGGGGGTGGAAAGGTAACAAAAGGAAAAAGGAAAAAAGGAGCAAAATGCACGAAGAACAAAAGGGCGCGCGGGGGAGTGACAAACGAGGGAGGGAAGGGGCCCGAGAAAAGGGGGGAAAAGAGGGGGAAACCAGCGAAAGGACAGAAAAAAAAACACGAAAAGTAAGAGAAAAGAAGGAGGGGGGGAGAAAGGGGGAGCAAACGGCCGGGGGCGGGTGCAGGGGGGGAGAGCGGGAAAAAAGACGGGAGGGAAAAAAAAAAAGGCACCAAAACGCGACAACCGAGGCAAAAGGAAGGCCGGCGCAAAAGGGGGAAAACGAACCCGATAAAAAGAGAGAGAGGGGATGAAGGGGGCGGGAAGGGAAAGGCAGGAGGGGGGGGGAGAGAGAGAGAGAGGGAGGACAGAGGGAGAAGAGGAGAAGAGAAGGGGAACGCAAAGGAGGGACGAAGGGAAAGGAGAAAGCAAGAGAGGGGAGCAGAACGAGAGGGGGAGGAAGGGAGGCGGGGGAACGAAAGGGCTCAAGAGTGGTGGGGGAGGGAGGACGAGGAGGGGGGCACCCGGGGGGTTGTGGCCGAGGCACGGAAGAAGGGGGGAAGTGAGAGGAAGAAGAGGGAAAGCGAGAGAGACGGGGAGCGGGCCGGACAAGGCCAAAGGGAAGCCGAGACGAGAGGGAGGAAGGAGGACAAGGGAGGCGAGGGGACAACGCGGACGGGAAGAGGCGGACGAGGAGGAGGAACACGGAAGGACGGGGAGAGAGGAGGAGGACCACGGAGAGGAGGAGGAGAGGAGGAGGAGGAGGAGGAGGAGAGGAGGGGCGGGGCAAGGACGGGGAGGAGAGAAGGGGCGGGAGGCACAAGAAGAAGAGAACCAGAAGGAAAGAGGCGGGGAGGGGAGGCCGGAGGGAAGGCCAGGGGGGGCCGAGACGGAGGGAGGCAGGGACACGGGGCAGCCGCCAGAAGAAAAAGGGCCACGGAGGAGACACGGGGAGGGGGCGGGGGACAGGGGGGAGCCGCCGGCAAGGAAGCCGGGGGGGACCGGGAAGGAGAAGGGCGGGGCGGGCGGGGAGGGCGGAGGCGGCGAAGCGGGGGAGACCAGCGCGGCGGGGACGCCGGGGAGGCGAGAGGGCGAGACGGGGCGGCGAAGGAGGAACCGGCGGAGGGAGGAGCAGCGAGGGGCGGCGCCGGCGAGGGGGGGGACGGCGGCGAGCAGACGAGGCAGGAACGCCGGCCGGCGACGGACCAGGAAGGCAGAGCGGGCGGGGCAGCAACAGAGCCGGCGAGGGGGGGCCGGCACCGGGGGGGGGGGGGCCGGCGAAGCAGAGAGGGCAGCAGGGCGGCGAACCCGCCGAGGGGAAAGAGCAGGGGGAGGGGAGAGGGCGGGAGGGAGAAGGGGCACCGGGAAGGCCGCCCGGCCAGAGGGACCACAAAGAGCCGGCCCAGCGCGCGCGCGCCGCGCGCGCGGACCACAACGACGGGGGGCACAACCGCAAAAACGCGGGGAGGCGACCGGAAAGGCAGGGAAGGGGCAAGCGGAAAAGGGGGAAGCCGCCGCGCCCCAAAAAGCGCAGGGGCGGAGGGGGGGGAAGGGCCGGGGGGACGGCCGGGCGGCGGGAGCGGCAGGCCCCAACCCGGAGGAGAAAAGGCGGAGCACCAGCGGGGAGGGGCAAGGAGGGGGGAACACGGGCAAGGCGGGAGAAAACCCGGAGGAGAAAAGGCGGCGGGGGCGGAAGCCAAGGAGCAGAGCGAAGGGGGCGGAGGACGCGCAGGGCGAAAGAAGACGGGAGGAGCGGGAAAGGGAGGGGGGGAGACAGCGGGAGGGGGGGGGCCAAAGGAGGAAACGCACCAGGCACAGAGGGCAGGGGGACAACCAAAAAAAAAAAAAAAAAACGCGCACGGGCAGGGGCACGCCAGGAGAGCCACCCAGGAGAGCGGAGGGGCGACAGACCCAAAGCAAAAGGGGCGGCAGCGCGGGGAGGAAAGAGGGGCGACGGAGAGGGAAGGCGGCAGGAGACGGCGGGGAGGGGAGGGCAGGAGGCAAAGAGGAGGGGCAGACCGAGGAGAGGGGAGGCAGAAAGGGGAAGGGAGGGGGGGGGGAGAGGCCGGACGGGGCGAGGGAGGGGGGAGGCGCGACAAAAGGGCCACAGGCAGGGACGAACGCCCGGGCGAGGCCAACGGCACGGGGGGCCAGGAGCGGGAGAGGGAGGGCAAAGGGAAAAGGCGGGAGGGGGAGGGGGGGAAGAGGGGGCGGAAGGGGAGAAAGGACGGAAGCGGAGAACCGCAGGGGGAAGAAAGGGAGGGAGCAGGGACCAAGGGAGGGAGAAAGACAAGGAGGAGAACAGAAAAAGACAGAAAAAACCCGGCGAAGGCACGGGCAACAAACGGCGGCAGGGACGGAGGAGCAAAACGGGCCAACGAGCAAGAACAGGGGCGACGAAGGGGCAAGGGGAGGAGGGAGGAGGAAAAGGGGCAAGGCCCCAAGAAGGCGAGGACCAAAAAGGGCAGGAACGCGGGGAGGCCGGGAGGCACAAGAAGAAGAGAACAAGAAGGAAAGAGGGGGCAAGGCGAGAGGCGGCGAGGAGGGCGAGGACCAGCAGGAAGGAGGCCCAAAGGGACCAGAAGGAAAGAAGGGGACCAAGGAGAAAGAAAGAGGAGGAAAGAAGGCACGGGACAAGGGGGGAAGGAAAAAGGGGAAAAAGGCAGGAAGAAAACAGAAGGGGCGCAGAGGGGGGCGGAGAAACGCGGGAAGAAAGGAGGGGGGGAGAAAGGGGGGGGCCAAACCGCCGACGGCAGGGGGCGGGGGAGAGAGCGCGAAAAAAGACGCGAGGGCAAAAAAACAGGGGGCCAAAACGGACAACGGAGGCAAAAGGGAGGCCGGGCCGAACGGGGGACACGGGACAACGGAAAAAAAAAAAAAAAAAGGAAAGGCCGGGGCAGCCGGCGAGGCGGCCGCGGAGGAGGCGAGGCCGGCGGCCGCGCGCGGCCATCCGGCCGGCCGTCGACGCGGCCATGCGGACACAGGGGAGAACCACGGAGAAAGAGAGAAGTGAGAGAGTAGGAAAGAGGAGAAGATGAAGGGACGACAGAAGGGAGGAGAGGACAAGAAAGGGAACCAGAAGAGAGTGGAGAAAGCAGAGAGGGAGGGAGGAAGAGAGAGGGAGGAAGGGGGCGGAATAAAAGGGCAGGAGGGGGGGGAGAGGAGAGAGGGGAGGACACTAGGGGAAGAGGAGAGAGAAGTGGAACCACGAAAGGAGGGGACGAATGGGAAAGCGAGAGCAAGAGAGGGAGGAGGAAGAGAGAGGGGGAGGAAGGGGGCGGGAGGGAAAAGGGCAGGGGGAGGAGAGGAGGGAGAGAGAAGAGGGGAGACACGAGGGAGAAGAAGTGAGAAGATGAAGGGGAACCGGGGGGGGGGGAGGTGAGCTGGGAAGAGAAGGGGAACGCCAGAAGGAGGGGTACGAAGGGAAAGGGAAACAAGAGAGGGGAGAGGAAGAGAGAGGGGGAGAGGGGCGGCGCGGAAGGGAAAGGCAGGAGGGGAGAGAGAGGAGAGATAGAGGGGATGACACGAGGGAGTAAGAGGAGAAGAAATGGGGAACGCAGAAGGAGGGACGAAGGAGATAAAGGAGAAGCAAGATAGTGAGGAGGAGAGAGAGGGGGGAGGATAAGTGAGCGCGGACAGAGAGAAGGGAAAATGGCAGCGAGGGGGGGTGAGAGAGAGAGATGAGAGATAAGGAGTGGGACACAGAAGGGGGAAGAGGTGAGAAGAGAAGATTGAAGCCCCAGAAGGAGTGGGGAACCGAAGGGAAAAAGAGAAATCAGAGAGGGGAGAGAGCGAAAGAGAGTGGGAGAGAAGGGAGCGGGAGGGGAAAGCGAGAGGGGGGGATAGGAGGAGAGAGGTAAGGAGGGGACCAGGCAAAAGGCCAGTGAGAAGGGTAAAGTGTGGGAATGGGGAAACGGCAAGTGTAAGTGGGGGACAAGATGAAAGGGGAGGAGCAAGGCAGAGGAACGGCCCTTGCAGGGGAAGCACAACAACAAAACCCCGTGAGACAAGGACAAAAGGCAAAGCAAAGATAATGAGTGAATACACAAAAAGTGTGAAAAAAGAAAAGAAAAAAAAAACAGCCGAGAAAATAGCCAAAAAAGCAACACAACAAAAAGCAGGAAGACAAGCGACCGAGCGGAAGAGGACAAGGGGTGCCGGAGAGGCCACACGGAGGGGGCAGGGGTGGGAAGAGGGGAACGCGCGAAAGAGAGACGCAGGATAGGAATAAAGACAAAAAAAAAAAAAGAGGAAAAGAAAAAAAAGGACTAGGCAGGAAAAAGGCAAACCACAGACGAAACCCAGGGGAAGAAAGCGGCACCGGGGAACACGGCGCCGCAGGAGAGCCGCGGGCGGAGCAGCGACAGCGCGGCCGGAGAATGTCGCCGCGAGAGTCCGCCGCCTGGGATGAGGAGGGGCCGGCGTACCAGCAGGCGCGGGAGAAGCGGCGGGCGGCGGCGTGCCGGCGCCGGGGCCTGGAGCAGGCGGGGGGACGGCGGCGGCGGAAGAGCGCCGGCGGCATTGAGACCGGAGCCACGGGAAAGGACGAGCGGCGGGCGGAGCCGAGAAGGGTGCCGGGACGGCGCCGGTCGATCGCGGCGGTTCAGGGTGCACAGCCGGCGGCGGGGGAACCGGGAGCGGGAAAGGGTGCGGCGCCGGCGGGGTCCAGGGGGGCAAGCGCCAGGAGGGCACTAAGGGAGGTGAGCGGGGGGACACGGGACGCCGGGAGACGGAGAACCAGAGAGGCCGGCGTGGGCCGGGGAAATGGGGGAAGGGAGGCGGGCGGCCAGGAACGTCGGGCAGAGTGCCGGCCGGCACCGGGCAGAAGAGCGGGAAGCCGCCGCAAGGTGGGCCGTCAAGTGGCGGCGCAGCAGGGGCAGCCAAGAGCGGAAGCGGGCGAACAAGTGGGCAGCCGGGAGCCGACAGGAGCGGGTGATGGTGGCGCCTGGCCTCGGCGCGGGAGCCGGCGGGCAGCGCCGCCGACGGCGCACACGACGGAGAGGAAGGAGGGAGAATGGGGGGAAGGAAGCTCCGCAATCGGCCGGACGAAAGGGGGGGTGAGGGAGCGCGCGCGGGGCCTCCGCCGCCGGGGGGGGGTGGGAGACGAGCAGCACGCCTCCGAACGGGCGGCAATGGCCTGGTGGAGGAGATGCCGGACACAGGGCCAGCATGAGAGCCAGGGAGGCGGCTGGCCGGCGGCGGCGCGAAGCGAGCCGGCGCGCCGCAGCCGAGCCCAAGGCGAACAGCACGAACGCGAAGGGCGTCGCCGCACGGCGGCAAAGGGGGCGCCGAGACGCGCGGGGCCGCCCGGCCGGAGAAGAACAGCGGAGGGACAACATGGTGACGGGCGGAGACGAGCGGCTGGCCCCGCGCGTGGACAGCCCGCAAGGTAAGGAGGCATGCTCGAATAGGCAATAAAAGGGAATCCAAGGGACCAGAAGGAGCGCTGTGGACGTGAAGACGGACACGGGGCGCCCGGGCGACCAACCGCCGCAACGTCACGGAGGCCGGCAAAAGTGGCGAGGGAACACCCGGGTCACCGACGGCAGCCGACAAGGGCCAAGCACGGGGCAAAAACGACGGCCCAGGAGGGACCGCGGAGACGAATGAGCGGACAATGCCGGGTACGGGCACCGGCACCGTGACGGAGCAGCCAACGCGCGGCAGTTGGAACGCAGGGAGTAACCGGCGGAAGGCGAAGGAGCCCGCGGTCAAGCCAGCCCGCCGGCCCATCGCCGGCGCCCGGCATCCGGCCCGGAAGCCAGACGACGCAGAGTGCGCCGCAGCCGGCCGAGGGAGAAGCACAAAGCGCACAGAAAGCCAAGGCGGCGACTCGCGTCTGGCCGAGCGTCCGGACGGAGAGGTCGCTCCCGGAGGCAGAAAGCGTAGTGATAAAGCGGCCGCAGGGGCGGTGTGCACGTCGGGGCAAGAGGTGAGGACCCGGGGGGGAGCGGCGGGGGGGGGGGACGGGTACGCGGGAAGGGGGCGGGACGCGGGTGGGAGGGCGGGGAAGGCACCCAGCACGAGGAGCGAGGGACATGAGGGCAAAGAGTGCAAAAAAGGCAAAAGAAATCGTGTGGCCGAGACCTGCGCAAAAGGGGAAGCGGAGGAGAGGGAGTCGGGGCGGCTAGCGGGGGGCCGGGGAGTTCGGGGGGGGGCGACGGGGGGGTGGCTGGCGGGGGGAAAAGGGGGGAGGAAAGAGCGGAGGGGAGGGACGGGGAAAGGGAGAAAGGGAGGGGGGGGGGGGGGATGGCACAGGAAGCGGGCAGAGGCAGGCGGGAGACGAGCCAGGGCGAGGGGGGAAACAACGGACAGGAAGGGGCAAAGGGCAAAAAAAGGGAAAGGAGGAGAAGCAGGGGAGGGAAAAGAAAAGCGAGACGAGAGAGAAAAAAAAGCCGGAAAGGGAACGGCCCGCCCAAGGCGAAAAAAGCGCGGCCGAAGAAAAGAGAGGGAGGGCGACGGGCCCAGGCGGACAAGAAGGCGGCGGGAAAAGGCGAGGCGAAGAGGAGAAAAGAGGGGGAAGACAAGCGAGACGACGGACGAGAGAGAAAACAAAAGCCGGAAAGGGGAACGGCCCGCCCAAGGCCGAAAAAAGCGCGCGGCCGAAGAAAAGAGAGGGAGGGCGACGGCGCACGGACAAGAAGGCGGCCGGGAAAAGGGAGGCGAAGAGGAGAAAAGAGGGGAAGACAAGCTAGCGAGAGAGAAGAAAACAAAAGCCGGAAAGGGAACGGCCGCCCCAAGGTCCGAAAAAAGCGCGCGGCCGAAGAAAAGATAGAGGGAGCGACGGGCCCAGGCGGACAAGAAGGCGGACGGAAAGGCGAGCGGCCAAAGGGAACCCAACCGAAGGGCCCACACGCGGGAAAAGGCGAGGCGAAGAGGAGAAAAGAGGGGAAGACAAGCGAGACGATAAGAGAAAAAAAAAAGCCGGAAAGGGGAACGGCCCGCCCAATGGCCGAAAAAAGCGCGCGGCGAAGAAAAGAGAGGGAGGGCGACGGGCCCAGTGCGGACAAAAGGGCGGGGAAAAGGCGAGGCGAAGAGGAGAAAAGAGGGAAGACAAGCGAGACGAGAGAGAAAAAACAAAAAGCCGGAAAGGGGAACGGGCGGCCAAGGCCGAAAAAGCGCGCGGCCGAAGAAAAGAGAGGGCAGGCGACAAGAAGGCGGGCTGCGCGCCGGAAAAGTGGTGAGTGGAGGGGAAGAGGAGAAAAGGGGGAAGACGAGGCGAGGCGAAGCGAGAGCGAGGGAGAGAGCAGGGGGGCAAAAAGCGGGGCGCGGGCCGCGGCGAGGAAGGCCGGAAGCGGCCGCCGCAGCGGCCGCCGCGCCGGCGGAACCGGCCGGGAAGGGGAGGGGAGGGGGAAGGGGAAAGGGGCAAAAGGGCGGCAAGGCAGAACGGGGGACGCCGGGGGCCGGGGGGACAAAGGGGGGGGGAAAGCGCGGAGGGGGGCGAGAGCGAGCCACCGCAAACGGCCGGAGGCGGGGGGGCCCACCAAGGGCGAAAAAAAAAGACGGGAGGAAAGAGGGGCGAAGAAAAAACGAGGAGAACCGGAGGGGGAGGAAGGAAGGGGGAAAAGGGGGAAGGAAACAAGGGGCCCGGGCAGGAGGGAAGAAGCGGGCGGGAGAAGGGGGCAAAGGAGGGAAGGAGGGGAAAGGGGGAAGAAGGAAGGAGGGGAAGAGAAAGCCGAGAAGAAGAGAGAAGGGAACAAGAGGGAAGGAGGGGAGAGGAGGAGGGGGACGCACGGAAGACAAGAGGGAAGGCCAGGGGGGGGCCGAGACGGAGGGGGCAGGGACACGGGGCAGCCGCCAGAAGAAAAAGGGCCACGGAGGAGCCACGGGGAGGGAGCGGGGGACAGGGGGGAGCCGCCGGCAAGGACGCCGGGGGGGACCGGGAAGGAGAAGGGGGGGCGGGCGGGGAGGGGCGAAGCCGGGGAGGGCGCCAGCCAGGGGGCACGGCGACAGCCAGGGCGGCAAACGGAGGGGAGCCGCGGCAGGCCGGGCGAACAGGAAGAAACCAGCGGCACCCAACGAACAAGCACGAAGGGGACAGGGGACAGCAAGCGCAAGAGAAGGGAAACAAGGGCAGGGGAAGAGAAAGGGCGGGAGGCCAGGCCGGGGGAAAGGGGGGCGAGCAGACAACAGAACGAGCAAAGGCAGGAAGAGCACCCAACCCCGCCCGGAACCGGGCGGCAGCAACGAGAAGAGGGAGGCCCCGACGCGGGGCCGCCGGCACGACAAGCAAAGCAGGCGCAGGCAGCCGGCCAGCGAAGGAGACAAGAGGGACGCCAAGCGCGGAAGACAAGGGGGAGGGGGGAGGGAGACCCGCAGAGAGCAGGGGGGAGAGCCGGGAGGGAAAAGGCACGGGCGAGGGGGGGGGGGGGGGGGGGGGGCAACAAGGACAGAGGGGAAGGGGGAGGGGCCGCCGGGGGACACCACCAGAAAAGAGGGAGCAACACCAGCCCGGGCAAGCGCAGCAAGGAGGCGGGCGCCAGGCGAGGCAGCAGCAACCGGAGAGAGGAGCCGGGGAGGAAGACCAAGACGAAGGGGAGCAGCCGGGGGGAGCAAAGCAGGGCCAGGGGGACCACCGCCGGGAACCGCAAAGCGGGGGCGCCGAAGGGGAGCAGCCGGGGGGGGGAAGGAAGCGACAGCAGCCAGGAAGGCAACACCGGCCAGGCCAACACCGCAGACAAGGCGAGGGGGGGGAGCGGCGGAGGCCACAGGGGCAGCGGGAAACGGCAAGGAAGGGCAGGGAGAAGAACAGAGGGGGGGAGGGGGGGCACCAAGGAGGGGGGGCAGAGAGAGAGAGAGAGAGAGAGAGAGAGGGGAAGGAGAGGGGGGGCAAGAGGGAAGGGAGGACGGACAGGGGCAAAGGCGACAGCACGCCAGCGACAACGACAACGGCGAGGGACCAGAGGAGGGGGCGCCGACCGGCGGCCCGCGCGGCGGCGCCGGAACCAAAAACCACCGGGGAAGGCCCCAACCGCGCCGGAGCGGGGGCGGCACCGCCAGAGCGGCCGGACGGGGCCGGCGCCGGAAGGAGGGACGGCCGCGGAGGCGCGCCGCCGGACCCACAACGCGCCGGAGAAGAACCGCGCGGCGACGCACGACCGACGGGGACGACGGAGCCGCCAAGGCGCGCCAGCGCGCCGCACAGGAGGCACAGCAGCGCGGGGCGAAACAAGAGGAGAAGAAGAAGACAGAAAAAGACAGAAAAGCCCGGCGAAGGCACGGGCAACAAACGGCGGCAGGGACGGAGGAGCAAAACGGGCCAACGACCAAGAACAGGGGCGACGAAGGGGCAAGGGGAGGAGGGAGGAGGAAAAGGGGCAAGGCCGCAAGAAGGCGAGGACCAAAAAGGGCAGGAACGCCGGAAGACAAGACAAGAAGAGGGAAGGAGGGGAGAGGAGGAGGGGGCCGCACGACCAGGAGAGACGAACAGGACGGGAAAAGAAACGAAGAAGAAGAAGAAGAAGAAGAAGAAGAAGAAGAAGAAGAAAAAGAAGAAAAAAAAGAAGAAGAAGAAGAAGAAGAAGAAGAAGAAGAGAAGAAGAAGAAGAAGAGCTGAAAAAGGAAGGGGCGGGAAGAATAAGAGGAAGAATGACTGAAGTAAGATGGGGGAACACGGAATGAAAGGGGTATAGGAAGACGAGAGGCGAGAAGAAAGGGGGAGAGGCAGGAAAGAGAAACGACCGCGGGGAAAGGAACGCGGAAAGAAGGAGAGAGCGAGGGAAAGAGGCGGAAGAGAGGACAAAACAATGGCACGGCCGGGCAGGCGCTACGGGCGGGATAAGACGAGAGGGGGGAGAAAAGGAACGACAAGGGGGCAGAGTAGCAAAAAGTAAAGGAAGAGGCGAAGGCATCGCAGGATCGCTAAGAAAAGAGGCGTGGCGTCGGAGAGCCAGCGGCGTAAGGCAGGCAGAAAAAGTAGATCGGGCGCGCCATAACAGGCATCAGGAGGAGAAGCCGGACGCCAACGGGGAGAAGAAGAGAAGAACCAGGAAGGTCACATGAGACTGCAAACTTGGCGCCAGACGGGGGGGACCACAGGGCAGAAAGTAAAGGGAAGGTAACATGAGGCGGAGCGGAAGCAAGAACACAAGTGCCCAAGGACGAGGGCAGGCGAGGCGCACAGAGCAGCGGGGCGAGGAGGGGAGCGACGGCCAAGGGAATGAGGAAGCGCAATGGGGGCCACCCCCGGCCAATGAGGGCGCCAAAGGACAAAACAAAGAGGCGAGGGCCGGCGCGGGACAGCAACAGAAAAGAGAAGCGAGGCGACCAGGTAAGGGACCAGGAGGAAGAAGACAGCGCGGCAGAACACGCGAAGCGCGCCCC